ATAAACCATTTTTGAGTTGTGACCTTTTTTTCCCCCACCACCAATACTACACTAAGTAGATATTTATCTTTTTGTTTCTAGTTCAAGTTAATCCAAGTTACCAAGGTAAAGTAACTAAGTTTGTTGCACCTTTTTCTTTTTGCAAAAATGGTAAAAACATTGGGCTTAAGTAATGCCAACTCCCGCCTGCAGGTGGTAGTGTTTCTTTTATAAAACTGCTGCCTCAACCTCACTTGATGTCAAGTTATAGTTGTGGTGTTTGACAATACCATAAAATCTAAAACCATAGAATAAGTGCAAATATTGCAAAATTCCTCGTGAATATTATTTTAAGAAGTACTCATCGAATTTAGAGACAGCCATTTATTCCTATCTTTAAAGGGTTTTATCAATATATTCTGGCATCTTAAGACACACCTGAGCCTCTTTGAGCTTGACCTCCAGGTCACTGAGGTCCATGTGTTTGTAGCGCAGCCTCTTGGCCCGGCACAGGCGGATCCCGTCGATGATGGAGGCGTGGTTGAGCTCGTCCGACAGCACGGCGTCGTCGGGGCCCAGCAGGACCTGCGAGAGGTTAGTTCACGTTGACTGACCACAGAGGGCAATGCTTCTTTTTTGTTGTTTTTCTTTTTGTTTCTGGCAGCGGCGAGTAGACGTACTTCAAACAGCCCGGCGTTGGCGTCGAAACAGCTGGCGTACAGGATGCAGTCCTCCCGCTCGTGAAACTCGGCCAGCTTCTGCTCCAGATTTTTATGCAGATTCTTTAAAGAAGAGAAGAAAAAAAAAGCTGTTTTACAGTTATGAAACCAAACGGCGACCTGGCAAAAATAACAGCCACAAACTTAAACATCATAGGGATTTGCCAAATTTGCTGTAAAAATATAAATCAACAAATTACTAAATAAATAAATTGCTTCAGATTCATTGTAATACAGACTGCTACAGGATATTCCCTTCCAATGATTATTGCATCACCATCTGCAATAACTAAGAATCTTGAATTAAAATTTGTTACACAATGTAATTTCTATGTCAAATCAATAAAATATTTTTGAATTTGAATGCAAAAACTGAAAACTTTGATTATACAGCGCAACATGAATCAATATTTATCATTTTTTCAACAGCATTAATAGTCATAAATTTCCATTTTATTTCCAATCTTGTTTTATTAATTTATTTTTTTCCTCACTTGCATCTTCTGTATTAATTTAATCTAAAAATTTATTTTCCGTCACATTTTATTTCAGAATTATTTTTTTCATATTCTGTATTTATTTTTTATTTACTGTCACTTAAAAAAATGAATCATACATTGATTTATTTTCTTTAATATTTCCACTTTGCATGTTCTCCCTTCCTGTTTTCTCCTTTGTTTATTTACAGATTTTGTTATTATTATTATTATGTTCACTTTGGAAGATGTAAAATAAAACAAGGGGAAGGGAGCAAAAATAAAATTATGAGATTGGTAAGAAATGGAAAATGAAATAATGTTGAAAATGACAAACATTATTTTATGTCACAACAAATAATAAATTAAGTTGGGAATGCTCTTATTTTTTTAAAACTTTTATTAAACCAGGAAATGAAAAACTCATTGAGATAAAAAAAACTAATCTAAAGAATGTCCTTGTATTTTTTTGGATGCAAGATTAGGCACATTAATTACTTTATCAAGCCATTTATTTCCTGCCAATTTTGGCAGGATTAGTCCTCCATATATGAATTTTGTTTTCAGCAGGATACCAAGATAAATCGAACAAAGTGCATTTTTCACATCTTCATAAGAAGAAAATGCTCATAATGATGCATCAATGTCCTCCCACTGCATGTTTTTATGTTGCTCTATAAATCCCAGAAACGACATAAGAATGTATCGGTTTTCTGGCTCTGAATGCTTTAACCACCGCCTTACCTGCGTCCCACAGATGAACCTCACAGAGCTCAGTCCAGCGCCGTGCGTCTTCAGCGCTTCTATTCCCGCCTGCACCACTTCCGGGTGACTGGACAGGCCCAGGTAGTTGTTAGCGCAGAAGTTCAATATACCTAAAACACGATGTTTAAAAAGAAAAGGAAAAAAAAAAAAGAGGAATAAGTAATTTCGCAAAAAACGATGCGAACAAGTCCTCAAATCGATACATAACGAAGAGTGAGAGTGTAAAAGACTGGATGTTTCTCACGTGTGACAGTTTCGCGCATGTTGGGTCATGACCTGAAACAAGCGGGGTCAATGTCTGGGAAGGGGTCAAAGCAGAAACATCAACAACACCACAGAGGATGTGCTTCGCTAGCAGGACAGTAACAAGGCAGAGATTAGAGCTGCTGCCATGGAAACTGAGCGTGAGCTAGAGACGGTTCCGCATCAAACAGAACAAAATCTACGACAGTGGTGTCAATTGATTAGTCAAAGATATTTGATTATTTAAAGCTACACTCACTGTCATTTTCATAAAAATCAATTAAACTCATAATATGTAGGACATCATAGCTGTCAGTTTTTATATTCATTTTGCTTTGTTTTAAAATATTTGTCCAAAATAAAATTGTCATCTTAAAAAACACAAGCTTTTTCACACACATGCTGCTGATGACATCACAGAAGGCAACTGATCAGGTTTTTTATTTTTCTCTTTATTCTTTTGTCTTTTTGTCGCCCATGTTTCTACATCACATTCCTCCCTCAAAAGGAATATTTATATCTAAGAACGAAATTGTCGTAAAAATGTTAAAACCTGCCATGCAATTTCATTCAGTAGTTGCATAGTTTTGATTGTGTAAACATTGTATTCTGGTTCTGATCATCTTCTGGACCAGTCTACTCCTAGAAAATATGGCGTAAAATAACCATTAAAATAAATTAACTCCTACTGGTAGACGCTATTCATTAGCAACATATATCTATATTATAAAACATCAAATAAACAAAAATTACTTCAAAACCAGGACAACTCAGGTACAGAGATCAAAAGGTGCAAAATGGTAAAATGGCCACCCCATCAATTGTAGTGCCTCTTGTGATGTCATCAACTCATAATAAAAACAAAGCACTCAGCATTTTTCCAGCAGTGTTTCTTCTAAAAAAAAAAAAAGACGTTTATTTTATGTTAATGCATACAGCATTTCACAATCTAATAGTTTTATTAGCTTTGTATATCTGTTATTGAAAAGAAAATGCATAATTTATACTCTTCGTTACAAAAAAAGCTTAATTTTTCCCCAAGAAAAATAAATAAATCAGTCTACAGTTTACACAAAAGACATCATAACAAAACTGAAAAAAAAATGTGTGCACTGCTTTTTATGCAGTCAGTTGCAGATTTTAAAAGTTTCTTGTATAGAAATATAAACAGTTAAATTAAAATTTGTAGGACCTTCTTTAGATACCTTTTTATTTGCTCTTTGCCGTGTTTGGCCAAATTATAATTCCATTTTTATCTTTGAACAGTTTGTGAAGCCCCTTGGGAAAGGTGCTATAAAAGTAAACTCTACTAAAACAGAAGTAGTGCTCGTGTTGTTGTGAAATCGTGAGTGCTTTGCTCAAGTAAATCTACTTTTCGAGAAGGCTCGTGGGACGGAAGCAGGACTTTTAAATAACTCCTGGACTGCTTGGACTGAATTTGACTTGTGAACTTAACTAAAGCTGAGCACAGCCCCCTTCAGTGAGCCTGGTTTTTCAGGTTACTACTTTATATAACTTGTGGATAAGGTAACCAGAAAGCACTCACTGCCACGGCTGCCTTCCACGTTGATTTGTGGACCCTGCTTGGAGGTAATGATCCTCTCCGCTTTCCACGTGCCTGCGGCTCGGATGGAGTCCAGCTCGTGCTCCAGCACTGCTCTGGCCTCAGAGACAGCCGCGTAGCTCCGTTTCAGAGCCGGTTCCGAGGACGCCAGGAGCCCCCGGGCCGGTTTAATCAAACTCCGAACTGCTTTGCCGAGAGACATGTCGCTTCTTTGATGTCACGCTGAACTGCTGTTGAGGTTCTAAGTCGGCGCGATTGCGTCACCTACTGCTGATGGGTGTATCTGCTCTGGACCAATCATATGTCGCAGAAGCTTAACAGGTGGGTCTTTTCGTCCAATCAGACTCAGAGCTTTTTGATCAAGTTATGCTTCGGTAGCCGGGCGTTTGTGAGATAAACTACAGCAGTAAATAATTCGTTATCATGAAAATAATTCGGAGTTTTTTTTGTTTGTTTGTTTACTATAAAAACGCATTATTAACAGTAATAACTTTTAGCACGAGGTGTAGCTAATAACAATGTTGGGTACATCTTCCTTACTAGCCTAACACGCAAACATAAACATGACCTCACGGTGACCCTTAAGTGTAACATATTAGGCTTAAAGCATTTTCTTTCCCACATCACATTTATGGTTCCTAAAATATAACACACTGTGTAATACTTTTATTTTTAAAAGACTGATGGAACAGTGAAATACATTTTTAGTGTTATCAGAAAATGGCAGTTTCTAATTACTTGTTCATTTTTTGGGGAAAAAATGCTACCCAATGGCAAAACAACACAAAACTGGTTCATAATTTTTTTGGGATAAAACACAGAGAGAAATAAATCAAAGAAATCTATGAATTCTTGAAATGAGCTTCTTTTGGTGGCAGCATGATGGCGCTCAGTCATTTTAATTCTGGTTTGTTCTTTTTGTAAACCTTTGTTCACACACACACACACACACACACATATATATATATATATATATATATATTTTTTTTGCTTTTAAGTTTTGCTTTAGGACAGTTGCTATGACATGTATGACGTGGGAAAATTTAATTGGACTGAATTGAAATACAATAAGATAATGCTATGTTTCTTTTCTTTTTTTTTCTTGACCCAACTTCGACCTTTTTGAAGTGTGCTCATAGTGCAAGATTCCACAACCACTGTTTTGAAGTGAAACAACATGAACCACAGAAGATGAAAATAACAGTGACAGTTTGGATTTGGAGGAAACAAAATGAAGACAAGACAGTTCTGACGTCCAGTTAATAGCTTTAGTTTAATATCTGGCAGCAATCTGTCATGAATTTCTGACATTATGCGGAAAAGCTGGAAGTACAAAATCTGGAATTTTTCCACATCCAACAAGAAAAAAAGTGAAGCATTAAACAATAACAGTATGTTACATCAGAGCTTCACTTACAAGTTTACAGTGTTTTTTAAATTATTTTTTAAAGTGTATTTTTACCTTTCATGTTACCAATATATATATATTTATATATACATTTCACAGCAGTATAATACATAATATATCCTGCAAAGTGTTTCTTTGTAACAATATCTTTTTTTCCCCTCTGAATGTCAGGAATGTAACCATATAGAAAATGTGCAAAAGTTTGCTCGCATACAAACCCTCAAGTAAAAACATTCCTTCACCAGCATGGTTTTCACATAGTTCCGAGCTCATTTTCTGGTCCAGCGTTGTTCCTCCAGTGTCGCTTCCACGTAACGACCCTCCACTCAATCATAAGTCGGGACGCACCTGCTGGTGGCGCCGCATGGCTTTAGGACTCGGAGTAGCTGGCGTCCCGTGAGGAGCCTCGCAGGGACGGCAGGCGCTCTGCCGCTTTTGCTCTTTCTGCCAGAAACCTGTCGAACTCTGCCGAGAGCCAAAAAAAGAAAGAAAAAAAAAAAAACACGATTCATGAGTTTGAGTCATGGCTGACAGCTCTAGGTTAACTGGAGAGGAAAATAAAAAAAAAAGAATACATAGAATGTAGAGAGGGTACGTCCTGACTGGTTATTAATAATTCTAAATCCTGCTGGAAAACGCCATCTGCTGGTGAAATGCATGAAACGGAGAATGAATGGTTGGTGTCAGGTCTGTCGAAATAAATTAATCATATGATGAATTAAAACAATATCGCTAATTTCCACTTGCATGATTTATTGTTTTTCTCTTTTCTCTCTCTCTTTCTACCACAAACTGGATTACAAAAGTCTTCAGTCTGGTGCTTTGGTCTCAACTAGACCTTTTTTTGAAAGACAATTTTGTTTACAGAGACTTCATCATTTATTTTATCAGTAGTTTCTGTTGTTTTGTTTATTTATTTTCCTGTTCCTGTGTTAAAAATTCAGTAGAATTAAAAAAATGATCAATATCTGAGAATGTGTTATGCCATTAGTACCATTATATTACTGGAAAATGGTCCAAAACAACGACATTATCGTTTATCGCGATAACTTCCGGGAGAGTTTATCGTCCAGCAACGTTTGTTATCGTGACCAGGCATATTCAACATTTCTATCAATCAGAAAACAAACCAGACTGCGCCCACCGCTTTAAAAATAATAGTTTCATACATTAGTATCAGAGAATGTTTTTTCTATGTAATGGTTCCACTGGTAACCATGGCAGCCGAATAAAATGCTAGCTAGAATCAGTGAGTCATCCAGCAGGAATTAAATGTTTTAATTCTCACCTTCACTGGTCACACCCTCTGAGTCTTCATAGTCGTCGTACTGCATTGCAGAAAAAAACCCACAAAGTAAACATTTGTGTTTCATTCACCTACATTTTTTGTAGTGTTTTGTCAAAGTGCTGGCAAAATGATTCCAAATAAATCCTTTTTTTTAACTGCAGCATCATGACTATACAGTGAAAGTAAAAAAAATTCCAACCTTTAAAGGGGCGTATTATATAAAATTCACCTTTATATCACATTATACTGCTATTCCTGCAGTGTTTCTAGTGTAGTAGAAAGAGCAGAAGCTTCTTAAAGACACAGAGGCCCAATTTCAAATGGTCAGATTGTGAAGTCAAATTTCTTCTGAGTCAAGTTTGATATTTACACAGCATTTTTATAATGACTGAAGGTAATATAGGCACTTGATCGTGTCATAAAATACCATTATGTGCATGGAAAATACATAACACTGCTCCTTTAATTTGAGCATATTTATTTAGTTTGGGGAGCAAAAATAATCTCTCATTAAAATATAATTGGTTTGGCCATATGTTTTAGTTGCCAGAGGCTTTGGAGAATATTCATCTTTTGCTTCATATCAAACCAACTTGGAGAGTTAGATTGGTGAGAAAATAAAATAAAATCTGCATCATCATCATCTGGGTTTAGTGGCACAGCAGAAAAACAGAAGTCATGGGTTATTAAACTGAAGTTTCTAGACACTTTAATTTCCAGGAAATTTAATGTAAAATGCTCCAGTTGTATTTATTCCAGAGGGATTGTTATGAGCAACCACCAATTGTGCAAATGGTGGTGATTTTGTTAAAAATAAATTAAATCCTAACATGGGTTTGTTTTTCCTTGACCCTGAAGAAATATGCTCAAACTAAAACCAATAAAGACCAGCAAATACAATATCTGCTGTTTTCTAATTGTGTATGTTATTGTACAGAACTGAGCGAAACGAAATAGATTTCTAACATGACCGAAAAATCTCTCAGAAAAACCAGATAAAAGTTTCTCCAAAAGTTGGCTTGACTCAACAGTGTCTGCAGTTTTATAGATGTAGAATTTTTTTTAGAGAAGACTGTGTGTGTTTAATATTTAAGCTAAAGTAAAATAGGTGTAACACGTCAGTCGGAACATAAACTCCGTAAGATCTGGTCGCTGACCTCGTCTTCCAGCTCTAGCCATTTCTCGACGTCGTCCATGACATTGGACTGGTTGATGGGAATCTGAGGAGGAAAAGTAGAGCAAAGGGTGAGCGAAGCCGGAAGTGAAACAGCAGAATCATCATGCCACCAAACCACCCAGCACAAATTGAAAGCGAAAAGGTCAGAAGACTCAAACTGCATCACCAACCGAAGCGAGGAACGGAGAAAAACTCAAGAGGTGAGGAAAAAATGTCGACATGTCCCAAACAATGCGGTCGTGCTCAAACACCAACATGCAGACCATTGAGACTGACCTCAAAAAAAAAAAAAATGAAATAAATAAAAAAAAAATCTTCATAAACAGAAACAAAAGTCACCAACAACACATTCGAATGGCAATACAGGGAAAAAAAGCAAGCGTTTGCACGCTAGCTGTGCGTTCAGACCCACCATTCCCCTTTTAATCATCCAATCTAACTTTGGTGAAGAGCTGCGGGTCGAGGCTGGACTCTCATCCTTCACACACACACACACACACACACACACACACACACACACACAGAGAGAGTTCATTGAAAAGGAAACACTTAGAGAGGCATAACTATTCCCCCAAAACTCACCACTGTGTTCATAGCACAGGCTCTATAAACACCCCATTTAAAACCTAACTTTAAGTCTAACCTGACTTTTTTTTTTTTTTACCATTTTAAGCTGCTTTCACCTTAATGTTGACATGTGCTCAAATGTCCCATGACAGACAACAAGTTCAGTCTTGTGACTCTCAAATCTGTAGGAATCTCAAATGCCACAGTGTTTTTTTTTCTTCTTACCAATCCAGAGTTTTGTAAACTGCTGCCCTGAGCTCGAGCCGGATCGTCTGCTGTCACTTCATTCGCATCACTGAAAACAAAGTTTTGTACATTAATTAACTGCCATTAGAGTCATTTACATAAGAACGAGGCAAACTGGGTGAAACGTTCTCAGCAGAAAACGCAACTTGCCGCAAACAGGCAGAATTACCGAATTTGCTTCGTTTTTATCTGCAACTAAAGGGTCTTCCATAGTGTGCTTACAAAATTTTTCTCACATGGTCGGAGTGATGTGATTATGTGCATTAAAACAAGTTTGGATTCTTCTGGCCAAACAAATCGAGAAAGTTTCCATCTCTAAGCTGCCGCAGGATGACTATATGACTTACATGATCAATATCTGATATTTGATATTAATATTATTGCTTTAACTGATATCTGCACATGTATATTAGGGCTGAAACGATTCCTCGAATGATTCGAGTACCTCGATTACTAAAATTCCTCG